CATTTTGTATTATGCTGTAAGCCTTACAATCTGGGAAGCTATGTGTCTGGAACTAAATTTTGTTCTTTAATTATTAAGATTCTTTAATTAATTAATTAATTGACTCTTCATAGCAAGTCTATATGTCATTAACCATATCCCTGGGGAGATGCCAGCATCTCTGTATCTGTTATCCATTGTCTTTTAAACAGAAAATAAACTGCACTTTTACAGACACTGTCATGGTCAGGGCCTTACCATGTACCTTTCTTCAAACTTCTTCAGAGGTTTGACAAGATAGCTGCATTCTTTGCAGTCAAGGGACAAAGTTCTGTTAAGTTAATGAAGTAATATAGGTGCTTTTTCCCATGTGATATCTACAAATTTTAGATTTCAGTGAAGTACTGATAAGGGGCATCAAACAGTCCTTGTCTCCTTATGCCAAATGAAGAGCATCACTAAAGTAGCAGAGTTTGTCTGTTTGTCATTGCCATAAAAAACATGCTGCATAAAGGAAGGTTACCTGTATTGAGCAGTTTGTACTGGGACAGTTCAGTAAAACTGGTTATAGGAATCACAACCATTTCCCGAACCATAAATTGCTGTGTGCCTTGAGAGAAATCATGTCCCTTCCTTTTTCAGCTCTTCTCTGAGAGGAGTTGCCTGTCCACAGCCTTTTCATTTTCTGAGATCAACACATGGAGCCACAAGCACTATCAGAAGAGGACATCCCCACCCCTTTCAGATGCTATTCCCAGCATACCCTTTTGCCTCTTGATCCCTTTTCTCTGCTCCCACTGCTAAGCTCTTCTGATCCCCACAAAGACATAAGACCTCTGATTTAAATATTTTCTAGATTATATTTTAGTACAACATTGTCTGATCCAGTAGCTTTTCTTATTTTTGTAGGAAGGTCTGATAGAATCAGTCTATTGTGGTTTTCTGTTTGGTTGGTTTTGTTTTTTTTCTTTTTAAGTAGAAAGTACTGGAGAAATAGATGAAGCAGGTTGATAGGTGGGTGATTTGTTATTAGTAACTTTTAAATAACAAATGCTGCAAACACAGTAGGATGCCATTACCACAGAGACAAGGTCAGAAGTTCCAATGGGTGCAATAAAAGCAGTAAAAAAATACTTAAATCACGAAATGATACTGATCAATCAAATATGTTGAAAAAAAAGAATATTTGCAAACATGAAAATTACTGGATAGAAAATTAAAGATGCAAAGAGAAAAAAACTTTCAACTGAAGAAGTAAGCAGACAAACCCTGAATATAATATAGTATTCTTATTTGTTTTGTTAACTTTCCTTCCAAAATCCAACTCAACATGCCACTTGAAAACTCTTATTTTAAACCTATGTTAGAAGACACGATTTTTTTAATATATAAACAATATATATATTAGTCCCCCTATTAGTATACTAACCTCTGTGTTTACCTCTAATGTCTTTATGATGTTCATTTATCAAGGTTTATTGTCTTTTCCTGTAAAGACTTTTTTTTCTGTGTCCTAGAGATAAAACAAATATCAAAAATAGAATAAAATGTCTAAGAATCAAACAAAAAAGTAGTTTAACAGAATTTCATTATTGCTTTACATAGACTTTCTTTGACTTATGATAGATTTTGACATGGTTTTTCTTTTATTGGGTAGAGTGAGGGAATTTGCAAGATTCATAGATTCATGGAATAGCTTGATTTGGAAGGGATGTTTAAAGGTCATTTAGTTCAAGCCCTTTTGCAATGGCCAGGGACATTTTCAACTCAATCAAATTACTCAGAGTCCTGTTCAATCTGGCCTTGAAAGTGGTTAGAGGGATGTGGCATCTACAGCCTCTCTGGGCAACATGTTGCAATGTTTCACTCCTCTTACTGTAGACAATTTCTTCCTCAGACCTAGTTTGAATATATTCTTTTTTTAAAACCACTACCCCTTGTATTATTATGACATGGCCTACTAAAATATTTGTCTCCATCTTTCTAAAAGAGCCCACTTTAAGTAATGGAAGGTAGCAATAAGTTCTCCCTGAAGCCTCTCCTCCAGGTTGAACATTCACAGCTCTCTCATCCTGTCTTCAGAGGAGAGGTGCTCCAGCTCTCTGATCATCTTTGTGGCCCTCCTCTGGACATGGTCCAACTGGTCCATGTTCTTCTTATGTTGAGGGTCCTAAGCTGGATGAAGCACTCCAAGTGGGTTCTCTTGACAGCAAAGTAGAGAAGGAGAATCACCTCCCTCGACCCACTGGTCACCCTGCTTTTGATGCAGCTCAGGGTATGGTTCAGGTCTCACCAGAGCAGATTCCCAGAATGAAGGAATATTATGGGGGGATGTGTACGATGTCATATATATGCTGACATTTCACATTAATTCATTCCTATAATCCTGTATTAGCTCACCATTTCAACGGGATGAGGTTCAACAAGGCCAACTCCAGGTCTTGCACTTTGGTCACAACAACCCCATGGAGCACTACGGGCTGGGCATAGAGCGGCTGGAGAGCAGCCAGGCAGAAAGGGACCTGGGAGTTTGGATTGACAGGAAGCTGCACATGAGCCAGCAGTGTGCCCAGGTAGCCAAGAAGACCAATGGCATCCTGGTCTGAACCAGGAACAATGTGGCCAGCAGGACCAGGGAAGTGATTCTTCCCCTGTACACAGTGCTGGTGAGGCCACATCTGGAGTACTGTGTCCAGTTCTGGGCCCCTCAGTTCAGGAAGGACATTGAGGTGCTGGAGCAGGTCCAGAGAAGAGCAACAAGGCTGGTGAAGGGACTCAAGCACAGGTCCTATGAGGAGAGGCTGAGGGAGCTGGGGTTGTTCATCCTGGAGGAGTCAGGGGAGACCTCAACACTCTACAACTCCCTGAAAGGAGATTGTAGCCAAGTGGGGGTTGGTCTCTTCTCCCAGGCAACTATCAGTAAGACAAGAGGACGTGGTCTTAAGCTGTGCCAGGGGAGGTTTAGGTTGTATATTCGGAAGAAATTCCTTACAGAGAGAATAATCAGGCATTGGAATGGGCTGTCCAGGGAAGTGGTGGATTCTCCATCCCTGGAGGTTTTTAAGATAAGACTGGATGTGGCACTTAGTGCCATGGTCTAGTAACCATAGTGGTAGTGAATCGAAGGTTGGACTTGATGATCTTGGAGGTCCTTTCCAACCCAGCTGATTCTATGATTCTATGATTCTTTGATGACAGTTTCAGAACCATCTCTCTCATGGAAAAGAGGATGTTGTCTGTTTTCAAGAAGTTTTTTTTCTTGGCCTGCATAAAGCATGCAGTTTAACTAGGGCAGGAATGCTGGTCACATGTGCATGCCTGATGTGTTAATTTCATCACCATGTTAGGTTACCAAATGGGGACAGTGCAGTTCAGTATTCTGTGTTTTCGCCTGTTGTTAAGTCTTTGTACTATAAGAGTTTTGGCTTCCACCACTGCAGTCAGTAGGAAGGATGTCACTAAACACAAATAAACTGACTTCTGGTAGGTCTTTAGGATCTCATTCAAAAGGTATTAAGATAAAAATATTTAATAAATATATATTTTAATGATTTTACCTAAGGTTCTTGTATTTATTAAACTACTTTGTAGCTTTTGCTAATGCTCTGTGAGTTTACTTTAAGAATATCATTGTCTTTAATTGATTAAACATCATATCCAGTAGAAAAAGGCAGTCTACATAATTCTAGACTTGATTTCTAAAGTAGAAAAATACCTAGTAAATCTTGGCACTGATGATAAGTCAATTGACTAAAGTGTATCTGTTTACCATTGATTTCCCCTACTAAAGCTCTAGGACTGCATGAATGAAATAGAATTTGTGACAACTGAAGGTTCTAAGAAAATGATTTTAAAGAAAATAAGCACTAATAACATGATTTTATTTGTTTTAATACAGTTCAAAAATAAATATTCAACACTCTAGAGAAAAAAATTTGTCTTCAGTATTAACAAATCTCTTGTAAATTTTGAATACACTGATATATATCAGGAAAGATGTTAAACTGTTTCTTTTATTAAGAGATAATATAATGGGTTTACTTTTTGAGATTACACTCACATCATAATGGTAGAGTATACTGTAGCACAGTTTGGGTAGGGAAAAAAAAGTAAACAGAAAATAATATGCCATAAGACTTTTTGAATGATTATAAGAGAATATTATGTTCTGCAAAGGAACCAAACCCTTAAACATATTTCATTCAATAATTCTGATTTAATGATTGTATAGTCAATGAAAGAAACTCCATACTTTATTACATCTCCCTTTTATTTGTAGATTTTACATGCTTTTTGCTAGAACTTTATCACAGTGGTATCATTTTGTGTATGTCTGATTAATTTTATCTTCAGTTGCATTTTCCATCAATGCACTATGCAATTTTCTCATCATTAAAGCCTCGGTTTGGGATATCACAATTTGGGGAACAAAACCCCAAACAAAGCAGCAGCATAATTTTGCCTGTATTGCACTTTGTGCTGAATGTCATCTATATGAGAAATAAAAGCATATATGCTTTTACCTACTATTTCAAGATACAACAAGAGGTTGTTCTATAGTACGGAGAGAAGCATTCATTTCATCTAAAATACCATGTATTGATGTGTTATTTACAGGGGAAAATCTATCATCAAAATAGTTTCAGGACAGAAGTTAAAGAAACAATGTAGTGGTATGGCATAGGAAGTTTGGAGGTTTTTTTAAATCTTTGGCTAATCAATCATTTCCATACAAACAATTTATCAGATGCATTTTATAATCTTTACCTTTGGGAATTTACAACAGACATGGTTTTTACTTTTTGGAGTTTGTGTCCACATAATTATTTTCTGCATTAAATATGGATTTTTTTTAATGGGAATAAAAATCTTCTAAGTAGCTCTATGCCTTTATTATTTTCTTTTGACAGAACCCTGTATAAATTCTTACTAGTTTCATGTGTAGATATCAAAACATCTTCATATTGTATTTAAAATAGAAAAAAGTTTAAAATACATCTATTTTTTTCTATGATGTGATTTCTAGTTGACAGAAGCTTCTTTTTTCAATTTTTTTGCAACATAAGTATTGATAGACTTATGAAATCTAGGGGGAATCACAGAATCACAGTCCTGCTGGAGGCAAGGCCTTCCAAAAGAATGCATGAGGTCCTATAGCCCATCATTCATAGTGTGGTCAAATGTGTCAACCAGAAACTCCACCACAGAAGCTGGGATATAGTTGTTTTCTGTATCAGAAAATTAAAAAAAAAAAAATAAATAAAAATTAGGAGCTTCACTCTTCTATGTCTGCATTGTTCAATAAATTGTTTATTTATACAGTTGGAACAGTTTGGTGTCTCTGTGCATACAACCTGTATGATGTATGCTCCATAGCCCAAAAAGGGCAATCTGGGCAAGTCAACAACAGAAACAATAAAGCCATGGTCTCAGTGAGGCAGTGAAACTCCCTCATAGCTTTCCATTACTTCTTTATACATCATGTGTCAAATCGCTGTTCCTGAGAGGAGGCAGTAGCATCTAGTATGAGATTTTAAATACTTTAGTAATGAGACTTTATTTCTACCAAAAAAAAACCAAAACAAACCCACAAAAAACCCTGCCACATCATCTTTTTATTCTCTCACTCACCAATAGCAAAATAATCTAAAAAGGAAACTGCAGTTAAAATGTGGTAACTTTAAGAGTGTATGGTGTCTGTATGAGGATAGAGTTTGATATCAAAGGAGCTCACTCACCACAAGACACAGGAAACACATTATAGCTTTAGCAAACATGGAAATTCCTTTCATCCAGAAGATCAAGACTATGCAGGATGATGGTTATCCAGACCATCACCAGCTCTAAGATGGAAGTGCCCAAGACACAAAGAGTGAAGTAGTGGGGTGATAAGTACTGTTTTGAGAGGACATCAACTGAGGCAATTTCTGTCTCTGAAAGAGTCTTGAACCTTGGAGGCTTATGTTGCTAAGTAGAGGTAGCATCTGCCTGAAAGCATCGTGAGGTAGGATAGATGTAGACTCCAAAAGTGAATTCCTTTGTGGCTCTCATTTATTTGTCACTCCTCTAAATACGTAAGACTCACCCACTGCACATATGAGTTTGTTATTAGCTGGGATTATCAATATATATATCCAACAGACCCATTAATTTCTCTTTTGCACAGAACTGTGTAACTCAAGTGTTCTGTTGAGGCTTCCAGCCTGCAGGTTTATCTTAAAACCAGATGGCACTAATGGTATAATGAGCTGGAGGAAAAGAAAGTTAGCATTAAAATCTCTCAGGGGAAGACAAATTAACATCAATTTTCTGCTTATGTGAGGAGACAACTGTAAGTACATCGGGACAGACACCTTCATCATTTTGTTTTGTATGATTTGAGTGAGAAAATTAAGTTTCCTTAACTGACTGAAGGAGTCACATTAGTTCTCTATTGTACTTTTCATAAGCTAAAGTAAAAAATGTACAATAAGATGGCACAGTGCAAGGGATAGGAATAGGATGAGTTAGCAACATAAGGAGCAGGGTAAGTCATAACTGCTAGTGCCCTATGTACGTGGTGAGTTTCTGAAACATGATTTTATTCAAATGTCTGTCTCAGAAAGACGATAACATATACCTAAAGCAATATGCACTATATTAGACTTCCCTTTTAAAAATGAATTCTTACAGTTTATTTCCTACTTGACTCACTCTGCTGTTACCAAAAGCATTTTGGCAAATAAATTAAGAATGGTTTGTAAATTTTGCATGCATGTATGCACAAGGTAATGAAAAATGTCAAGGTACTTCATTGGTTTTTACATAAGCTTTTCTACATTTAAGAACCTTTATCAGTATAACGATAGCATAGAACTATCTTTCCCCTGGGGTCTGAAAATATAATGGCAAAAGACTTATTTCATTGATGTAGTTTAAATCAATTTTCAGAATGTCAATTTCAAAAAATTGTTAAATTTTCTTCACCTGTTTTTGGTTTGGTTTGGTTTTTTGTTTGGTCGGTTGGTTAGGGTTTTTTTTGTGGATGTGATTATATTTACAGAATAGAATTTTATTCACTGTATAGGTTTATTCAGGTTCAGTCTCTGGCTTTATCATAATTCATAATCAGAGTAATGTAAGAGTAGATGTCATCAGGGAAGAAAGCTGCAAAATCCTGTTCAACTCATCTGTATTCGGTTAGATACCTCCACCTGCAGTGTCATTTCATGTAAATGCTAACCCAATTATAACTTTGACTAAATTAAAACTGACTTAGGAGCTCAAAAAGTGGTACTAAGTAGATTTGACTATCGCCTGATTTCTAAAGTGTACCAGAGAAAATTAGATAGTCCTTTCCACTTTTCACCTTAACACAATGCATAAATAAATCCTACAAAAGGAATACTAATTTCCTGCAGTCCAACTTAAGCAGAAAGTTAGTTAGGGGTCCTTTGATGTTAGTACATAAAAATGTACTAAAATTGGCATACTGGAAAAAAAATCTATCGTCTTAAATAAATTAGGCTGACTCTTTGCCTGTACCTTCAAATTACTCTTGATTTTTTATCTAATTGCACAGAGTAGGATTTTCCAAAGCTTGCAAGGAAGACTAACATTTCCAGCAAGATGGATTAGAGATGAATTGTCAAAATAGCAAAAGATGTTGATAAATTTCCAAGTTTTAAAAAGTAGTATTGGACCACTCTTTGAGGTGAATAGTGGAACAGTGATTAACACCGATTGTTAAGTTCTACATATGGTAATTATTTAAAACACCGTAGTTCATTTTAGGGGAGCTTATCTGTTGAAGAAATGGCATCTGAGGGTCCAAACCCTCATATTTAAGGTTAATACAGGTGAAATTGTTTGTGCCTGTTATTTAGTTCATTTACTCCCTGTATTTTACTTGGAGTTTGGTGCTTGTTGCTTGTGATGAAGTTCTAAAAATAACCCATGGTTCAAGAGAGGAAGAAAGAAAAGAACAATGTGTTGGAGGGAAAGTCAGAGAAGAACAAAAGCATAGTCTCACAAGTGCTACCACAAATTGTGGGAAAAGTTCTTGAACAATTATACATACATTAGGGGAAAAAAAAAAAAAACGCAAAACCACAAACCAACCAATTAAACAAAAAAAATAAATAAAAAAAACAAAACCTTTTTTTAAAAATATGAGTGGTTTGCAAAGTGTAAATTAAATGTGCACAAGTTAGCTGAGGTCTAGTTCATTCTGCTTTGGAAATTTACTAGATTTTCCTAATTTTTTAAAAGCTATTCCCAAAGGTATTTTACAACTATAGTATACATAAACAGTAATTAGGAAAAATACAGCACCATCCAAATTCAGACTCTTCTATCCTTCTCTCAGTAGGGACTACGAGTAAGCATAAAGCAACATGATTAAGAATTCATTTGTTTTATGGTTCAGTGGGAGCTGAAATGATTAAGCTCCTTTATCATGTTTCTTTTCCTATGTATATTTTAAAAACACTTCTGCTAAGGAATACCAGCAACAAAACATAAGGGAAGCAAGCTCCTCTTCAAAGTGCAAATATTTACTTACCTACTGTATACATATGTTTCCATTTGATAAATACTGCTTAAACCAAGAGAAATTGCAGGCTGCAGAAATGTCTCAGTGCAGCACAGAAGAGAAAGACTGCAAAGGCAGTTTTCAAGTCCTTATCTGCAAAGGGAAAGAGATGATTGCTTTAACCTTTGTTATCAGCATGAGACCTACTTTAATGCTCATAAGGCTCAAAAGGACTTATGAAGTGGTGAAAGGCTGAGCTAGATGGGCTGCGCCTCACTGTGAGCATCTGGCTCTTCAACAGCGGAGCCAGTGCTGGGGTAGCAGCACCCAGGCGCAGTGGCACACTGCTGCTCCCAGTGCAGTCTCAAAGCACGTTTCCTTGTCTGTGGCAATTCACATTCAGAAGGCATGGCTAACACTGACATGTAAAACTCAAAAACAGATAAAGTTATCAGTCACTGGTCTCTTCTTTCGCATCCAAACATTGTATTAAAAAGAAGGGAAATCTAGGTTTCCCTGTCCTGACTACCAAAGGCTGGCTGTGATGACTGTTCACCCACCTAAAGAGGTTCATCAAGAATCAGTCAGGCTCTGCAGAATGAAGTGGACTACTTTGGCTTGGATTGAAATATTTTATTTTATTCTCAATAAACCACTACACAATAGCATAGTACAATAAAAATTGAACAGAATGCACCCCAATTTTCCACCACAGTTTGTGAAGAATGTGTAATTTCTTTTCATTGTATCCACACATAGAAGATTTCACTCAGAATTTCTTTGTGTACTCTGAAATCTAAAAAGTTTATATACACTAGCAAACTGACTTAATGTTGTGCAGATTTTTACTTTCGTGGCTTTTTTGGTACATCTATATTTTTGGGAAATACAGAATTTCTGTAATATATTTAGGCTCCAGCCTTGCAATATTGCACATGTAAAGTTAACACATATTAACAAGGTTGGAGACTTTTTAATGCTTGAATAGTTTGAGAATAACTCTTCATTTTCAAACAATGATTCCAAGGTTATTTATAAGTACCAAATTTCAAATTCTAGGAATGTAGAAACAAAGAGAAAAGTTCGTCTTTTGTAAAAGTGATCATTCATAAAATATAGTTCCTCATATATTTTTTACTACTGATTTCCCTGTCAAAGATTTCCATTCCTTTTAACCTATGAATTGAATGCTGTTGCTATGAGATCAGCAAATATATATTCCCTGAGCATTATATTTTAATAACACAGCATATACTGGTTTCAGAAAAAGATACAAGACTTGTTTTTGCGAATGCCTGATCTAAAGACGAAATCAGCAGTACTATGTGCTCAGAAATACTAGCTAAAATGTATTCCCTTTTTCAAGGCTTTCCTTATGTTGAAAATATGAATTAGGTCTTAGAAGTTTTCATGATATGCAGAGATAAAAGCCGGCGCCCATGGAACTATGAAAAAAGAGTTAGAAAATTAAGATCAGAAATTAGAATTTAGAATGAGAAAAGGAGAAAATCATCTTACATCTTTGAACCTTTTGTCTCTTCCAATATATTTTCTGTTCTAGCTTAATTCACATAAAATATGCGTAACACTTTTATAGACCTTAACTTTGTATCTTATTACATGTAGAAAATTTAAAGGTGTGAGTAAGCACTTTTTAATTTTCTGCATCTTTGAATATAAGCTCTTTTAATTTCCTTTCTCTGATGTGAGGGAGTGGACAGATATGACACACACGATTCTTGAAATGTAATATCTTCATGCACTTTGGAGCTTTTGATGTGAATTCATCACTGAGAAAAAAAAATGGCTTGAAGCAACTCATCACTGGAGGGAACCGACACACACATATACTTTCAAAAAGTTGAGAAAGTTGTGTTTAGTACCATTTGTCTGGCTCCATTAAGACAGACAGTGAATGTAAGAGGTATATTTCTGTAGTCAATTGGGAAACATCTGGGGTGAGGATATAAAACCTCACACAGCAGCCTTACGTCATCTGGCGTTTACGTCACTACGCACTAATCTGTCCATTCACACAAAAGCACCTCACATGCATTTCCTCCTTCCTAATTTCCTACTTAGGAAACTTTCCAGTTTCCTTTGTATATTCTGTGTTATTTCAAGAGATTTAAAATAAAAAATTAAAATCTATATTGTGGGAGCACAATAACAGTGGGACATTGAAGACATTTCTTTTTTATATGCATATCTGTCTTTTGACAACATTGTCTGGATACAGATTGGAAACATACAAAAACCTCCCATCTCAGTGGCTCATACCCAAGACACAAGGTACACTGTGGGACATATGGACAAGCCATTTTAGATGAAGCACTGAGAAGAAATGTTTGAGAAGAAATGTTTAAGAAGAAACATTTCCTACTTTTTGGTCAATAAGTAAAAGAGCAAAATTTGGCATATGGTCAAGACTTGGCAATATACTTGCCACCTCTGTTTATGTCCCACTCTACTCTGGCCAAAATTTTGGTGACATCCAGACTCCTTTTTTCTTTAAGGAAAAATTAGTTTATAGGGCTTTTTTACTAAACACATCCTAAATCTGCAAACTAGCAACATTCAGATTTGTAACTCCTTCTTCATGCATTTTTCCCTAAGGCATCTCTATCAACTTCTCCCAGTACCCCAGAATAGACTCTTTTTATCCTTCCCTACAGACATGTGCCTCATCAATTCTCTTGGCTAATTTTTTAATAAGTCTGGGATATTTAAAAAAGATACAGACTCTATTAAAAAGAAATGAAGAAAGATATAGGAACACGAATTATTTGTAACACTTAATAAGAACCTATTTTTATTTACTATTAACTGTATTTGTCTCTCATATATATATATTTGTTCTGAATACTGTTTTACAAATCATCATTATCTTTTCTTTACATTTGTACTTGAATATGGGAACATTTGTACTTGAACATGTTTTAGCCAGATTACATACCTTTATCATAGTGAGACAGAGAAGGCATGTTTTGATGCATTGTGTATTCCTTTTAAGCTTTCACCAATATCCATCAATAACTAATTTAAAATCTCTTGAGCTGCTCAAAAAATTCATATTAAGTTCTATATCTTGACTGAATTTCTGTTCATGTAAAAAATATTGAAGACAATGTACTTGTAAAAATTTAATGACTAACCTATAAACCAACTTGCACAGACTCTCCTTTCCCCTGGTTTGGTGAGAGGGGGACTTTTTTGTTTGGTTGGTTGGTTGGTTGGGGTTTTTTGTTATCATTTATTAAAAATTAGTTAGCTGTCTAAAAGGAAGAGAGTTAATATCTTTCTCTGTTTTTCAAGCCAGTGAAGCCACGTAGAAGTCTTGGACTATTGGTAGCATCTTTCAAACACCCAGACTATCATAATTACCAAGATCAGTCATAGTAAAATATTTAAAACAGTATTTAAAACATGTATATAAAAAATTTTATTATAGACATGGTTTTAGGGTTTTTTTATCTTGACGAAACTTTCCTTCCAACTTCCAGCTGTTTAAGTACAGCTATAGATGTAGACATATATATGGATATTCTTGTGTGTGGAAAGAGAAAGAGAGGAACTATTAAATAGTTATGGAGTAAAACGATCATAAGAAATTCTAATAATTTGACTCATTTCAAATCAGAAAATACAAAGTCTGTTCAGGTCATCATTTATAGATAGTGTTTTGTAGAAAAGGAGTTGCTATCAATCCACTACACCTGTCACACCAAGTAAATTTTATTCTACCTTTTTTCAAAGATTCCAAGTTCCAATATACATGTCAGAACTAAAAAAAACCCAAATCATTGATGAACTATTTACTCTTGTACTACAAACCTATGAGGAGCTCCAGCAGCTCTGGATAAATATTATGTAGGTATATACTGCTTTGGCATTGTTGTTTCTCTCATTTTTTTAATTGATTTTTGCCTGCTCATTGGTTGTTTTCCTACTTTATTTCCTCTACATTAATCAGCCCTTTTATCCTCCATTTGCAACAGAAACAACTAGTTCTTTATGACCATGAAGAAAGCCTATCTCCTAATATTTACACCCAGAACTACACCCAGAGGAATTTGAGTTTTTAAGCTAAATTGCTAAATTACTAAGTATGTAGAAGTTTAGGCACCACCAAGTGATCTTCTCTTTGCAACATTCAGTAAAAAGAAAAACATGATCTGCTAAAGCAAATGATGGAAAATTAGTGGGGCTAATTTTTTTTTTTAATATAGATGTTCACAAGTGGTAAATCAAGTCTGCATCCCTATCTACCACATGGAGAGAGCCTAGGTCTAGAGACTGAGAGGTAGAAAGTGGTTTGTGCTTCATGTCAGTCAGACTGGCTGCATCCACATTGCACGTCATGGCCCTGAGTGATAACCCCTGTGACTTTATGATGAAATTATTGCTTTGTATGTAATTTTCTGAAATTTCCAAGGTAATGTGTGCCTTAGCAGAAGAGCACTAGTGGCATATTGCATATGACACAGAATGAGAGCACACTTTGCATGCTCTGAGATGTAGGATGAAGATTCTTGTGGCTATTTTAAGGCACAGGCCTGCTGAGAGATAGACAGGGGATTTTATGAGAAAGCAGTACTTGCTGCAGTCTCTTAGTCGTCATCTGTCACTTACTGTAGCCAGTCTCTGGTTATCACCCAGGCAGGTGATACCTGGCTGCATCTGTGCTTTTCAGGCTGTTCAGATTAATCTGGAATGAGCCAGATAACAGAAGTAACATTTTCTTTTTTGTACTGTTTTTGACAGAAGATGATGAAAACCACAGTAGTGCTCACTGACTTCAGGCTTTGTGACTAATAAATACATGTGACTTGTTCTGAAAAATTAATAAAGAAAACAGTGGAGAGTTGAAATAATCGTCCTTCCTGTAAGGATATCAAAAGTAATTTTGAGTGCTTTGTAAAAGCTACAGCCCAAACACAAGACATTGCACATAATGGTCAAGCTTTCAAATGCAGACCTGACACTTCTAGAGGTTGCAGGAGTCCTTGTTCACCTTTTTGCAATTGGAACTGGTTGGCCTGGGCTTTGATTTAGGCATATATTCATGAGTTTTAGAACAGGAATCACTATCCACCCAATACCTCTCATGTCAAGCAAATTTCAGATCATATGTTGCTACACGAGGTGGTTGCAGCAATTGCCTGTGGCACCACAGGAATGCGCCATTCCAGAGCTGCGCTGCGTTTCCAAGATAACCTAGGAACAGCGTTGACATCAGCAAGGATCCAAGGGTCCCAACCAATCTAACAGTGTAGGCCTCTTATGACAGTATCTACAGTACACTCCAGTTCTATTGGTATGTGTATTACAGCAACCAAGTCAGAATCACAGGACCATTTAGGTTGGAAAAGACCTTTAAGATCATCAAGTCTAACCATTAACCCAGCACTAAAACATCTACATGTCTTTTAAATAGCTCCAGGAATGATGACTGAACCACTGCCCTGGGCAGCCTGTTCCAATGCTTGAAGATCCTCTCAGTGAGGAAATTTTTTCTAATATTCTATCTAAACCTCCACTGCTCCAGAGCTCTTCCCAGGTCCTTCGAATGAAAGCCAAAGGTAGATTTATGACTCTTGAGACTGAGTCTGATACTCTCAAACAATCCAACCCTATTGGTCATAATTATTTTTGGGTTTTTTTCCACTTTTCTGATGTCTTTTTCTGTCAGTAAACTAATATCTATTACTAAACTGTATTGTGAAAAAAGGTTGATTTCAGTAATTTCTCTATGGTTTACTTTTCATGTTTTTGTTTTTTTTTTTTTTTGAAAGTGTTACTGCTCCCAGAAACGCTGTCATATCCAAGGATAGGACCCATCTTTTACTCAAGGACCCAACTTCCTTTTGTTTGTCAATGCCAAAGTGAAAGATTATATTCAAAATAATTCAGTTTTATATGTCTCTGTACTCAAGCATTCATGAGGCAGAAGCCTGTTCTTGTTTATGTGAGAACTTCAGCTGATGTTCAGTGAATTTGGAGGCTTTGCTAATACTGACTTGATTAACATGCAAATAACTTTTGATGCCTCTGTTCAAATTAACATTCCTATCACCTTATCCCTCAAGATAACTGTTTCTCCTGGTTAAACATCAAAACTTGATGTCAGTATTTTCCAAGATCTTAAATTTGAAAAGACATAGCCCATATTTACCAATAAGTTCTCAATTTCTAAAGTGAATCCCTAGCAGATGAAGCTCCATCTGGTATAGTTATTAACCACATTTTGCTGCTCTATAATCACATTGAAATTCCCCTACTCCGCAGAAAGGATTGCATTTCTTCATTGATACACCTCCACCATACAGGATTGGGTGATGCCAGTAATACTTTGTTTTCTGTCCCTTTCCTTCTGGCTCTTTCTTTCCCTTTGGAAATACTCAAATGCGAGGAAAACAAATATTGACAAGTCCATATTTTCTTGAAGAGAAACATTTTGAATTTAATTTCACTTTTCCATCTCTTTCTCTCTCTTGAAAAAGAATGAATCTGAAAACAAAATGCCTGTCAGGCTCTCATCAGCTCAGGCTTTTTGCAGCCACTACATCTCATTTCTCCTTCTCACCTACCTCCAGCACAGTAGCCACTGCTCTTTCTGGACAAAAACTAATACAGCCTGCAAGCATATTTTATTTTCATGGGTACCATCTCCCCTCTGATGCTGCAGCTCCTCCTGCTGACTGCCTCCTCATTTCTCTCCCAAAGCTGCATTATAAATATATATATATGTGCTATATATAATGTATCTGCTCTGCCAGATATAACGGTAGCTGGACCTTAGAATTCCAATCTGATGGATGGTGCCTTTAACGATTGACCATTACAGTCAATATAGTTGTTTTCATCATGAGAAATAGAATTCATCAATCTGTATTTGTTAACACTATACGATAGAGACAAGAATAGCTAAAGTCATTTTTTATAGGTTATTTCAGTTTATTGGTAAGATGTGTAGCATATTTTTATATTTAGTGACTCTTGCTAGCCTTTTTTTAATAACCTAAACCATATTACTAATTTCTCTGATTTTTGTACTGTTTTTGTATACACTTTCTCCTTTAAACTTAACACTTCTGATCCATATCTTTGTAACAGAGTAATATTTCATTTGGAAACATTCAGCTCCTTCTTCCCAAGGCTTTCAGGTCAATTAGATCAATATGAGTGGCCGTGATTATAAACTATGTATAAAGGATATTCCTTTTTACACCCCTGTGTCTGTAGCATTGTACCAATGTATCCAAGCTAACATTAAATTATTTATTCTAGTTTCAATGATTTTTAAGGTGACTACATATTTGTTGTTTGAGTGCTTATTGAGCTTTTAGTGCAAAGTTATTGTCCTGGGTTTGGCTGGAATAAAGTTAATTTTCTTCTTAGTAGCTGGTAGAGTGCAGTGGTTTGGATTCAGTATGAGAATAATGTTGATAACACACTGATCTTTTAGTTCTTGTTGAGCAGTACTTACACTAAGTCAAGGAGTTTTCAGTGTCTCATGCTCTGCCAGTGAGGATCTGCACAAGAAGCCAACAGGGAGCATTGCCATGTCAGCTGACTTGAAGGGAAGAAAGCTGAAGAAAGGGATATTCTATTCTACAGAATGTCATGCTCAGTATATAAACCGGGAAGATTAGGCCAGGAGGGGCCAATAACTCCTATGAAATGGCTGGACTTTGGTCAAGGGGTGGTAAGCAATTGTATTGTGCACCATTTGTCTGTCTTGGGTTCTGTTTCTTTCTCTTTTTCATTGTTACTAGTATTATTAGTATTAGTATTTATTTAATTTTACTAAATATTAGTAAATTTAATTTTAGTTCAATTATTTAGCCATTCTTATCACAATCTACAGTTTTTATCTTTTTCTGATTCTTCTCTCCATCCCACCAGGGAGCAGAGGGAGTAAGCAAACAGATGCACGGTACTTAGTTGTTGTTGGGGGTTCAACCATGACAGTTATCACAGATATGTCTAAATTACCCTTCCATCGTAATCATCCCACAGCTGTAACTGTAGCAGTGATCTAAGCATGAATGAAAATGATGAAGCTAGATATACATTGCTATCTGATTACCCATAAATGCATATATTATCATAGCAAGATAAAATAACGTTCCCTACAAAGAGAATATGGGGGTTTAGATTTGAAAATTATATTCTCCCAGCATTTGGCTCAATTTAAAATGTAAGTACATCATGGAAAGAGGAAGTCGTTTTATATATATATATATATATATATATTCTCGGTCACTGTGTTCAGTGGGGTGTGGTCCAAACAGTGATGGAATCTGACAACACTTTATAAAATGAAGTTTTATTGAAGCAGTAGTGAAGATGAGCAACAACTCACTTGCATGGCAATTCACCCACAAGTAATATGAGAGGGGTTTACTTTCTTTCTATTTGTTTGGTGACTAATGTACTCTCCCTGTAATGTACTTCAGGTTATACAAGCCATGGTGCTGTACAAATCTGTTAAAACTATTCTATAAATGTTTTAACAAGTCCAAGAAGTTTGAATGTCCCTTTATTATTTATTACTGAATAATAAAGAGGAATATATGGTGGATTTCTTTCTTTGTGTATAGAGCAATATCTTGAACTTTGGTCTATTAGATGAGTTGAATTCAACATTTATCAAAAGCATCCATCAAAAAATACAGTCTTTAATATGCATTGTTTCAGAACAGAATCCCAGTGCAAGACAGAAATATAAGATTTTTCAGACTGTGCTGGTTTTGGCTGGGGTAGAATTAATTCTCTATACAGTGGCTAATATAGATCTGTGTTTTGGATTTGTGCTAAACACAGGGTTGATAATATTGAGATGTTTTGTTATTGCTGAGGAGGGCTAACACAGAGCCAAGACCTTTTCTGCCTTTTGTACTGGAACGCTGGTGAGGAGACTGGGGGTGCATGGCAAGTTGAGAGAAGTCACAGCCAGGGCAGCTGAGCCAAACTGGCCAAAGGAATATTCCATACTATATGACATCATGCACAATCTGTAAAGCTGGGGAAAGAAGGAAGAAGTGTGTGTGGGGGGGGGCATTTGGAGTGATGGAGTTTGTCTTCCCAAATCACCATTATGCATGATGGGGCCCTGCTCTCCTGGGGATGGCTGAACACCTGCCTGCCCATGGGAAGCGGTGAATTAATTCCTTTTTTTGCTTAGTTTGCATGAGTGACTTTTGCTTTTTCTATTAAGCTGTCTTTATCTCAACCCACAAGTTCTCTGGCTTTTACCCTTCTGATTCTCTCCCTGATCCCACTGGTGGGGGAGTGGGTGAGCAGCTGAGTGGTACTTGGTGGATGGCTGGGGTTAAATCACAACACAGACATCCACAAATGCATGCACATATGCTGTAACTTGTATGATTCACACAGGACTTACTCCCCCTAGATTTAATTTGCAATAACTTTGGATGTGAGTACATTTCAGCATTGCACTCCTCAGAGGAATGTAAGCTCATCCCATGGAAGAAATTAAAAGAAATTTCAAGTTTCAGATTCAAAATTCAAATTTCAGTCTATTCAAAATATGTCAAAGATGCATGCCATCTAAATTACCTACTTCTAGCAATGCAAACTAACATCTCGTTTTCTAGCCTTGTTGCACTCATTCCTATGTTCAAAGGGCTCTATTTTTAATTTTTTTAAGAGCAGTGTGAAAGCCAAAATATTCTCTTTGTGGGCAAGTAAACACTCTCAGTTCATCAGTATTTGAATGATGATCAAACCATTCTGAGCATCTCTGAGAAAATCCCTTCTCCCTAATGACCCCTTTTACTGAAATGAAGCTTTAAATCACATACCTCAAGTGAAAATGTGGAATAAAGATTTAAATGAAAAACCTAAACACAAAATGTCCTCTTTTTCCCATTTGCCATTCTTTTCCCTTACTTCCATCTTTTTTATGGAGGGTTTGTTTTTTGTTTGTTTTTCTTTTTTTTTTTCTCTTGAAAAAATAGTGTGTGTTGCTTGAGAGAAGCTGATAAATCATAGAAGCTTTTCCATCTGGAAAGATTTTACTGTTCCAAATCTCCAGACTCACACTGGTCTTAATTTCCCAGTATATTAAAGCCATAAAGCCATTTCAACAGACACTGTAGGATTAGTTCAGTAAAGGGGGATTCTCTGATGCTGGAGAGTTGTCACAGTAATATATTTGCATCCCCATATCCTTCTGGCATAGC